CATTCGCTGTGTATTCATACACTGCAGGAGGGGGAAGAACTCTTTCTGGGAAAACATCTAGCCAATTTGTTGCAAAGGGTTCACAACAAAATATCATTATGCGTACGTACGAAAAAACGGTTTAACCCCCCCCCCCCCTCCCCCACTGTACGCAAATTAAATGTACGCATCGATCATACCCCTTCCCCCCTCTCCTTGCGTACGTACTAAATGGATGCCCCCCAGGGCCGTCTGACAAAATGTCCGGTGACGTTGAGTTTGGGTCGGACATATGTCCGATGACCTTCAGTTCAGTTTTGACTCGGAAATAAGTTTGAATGACACAAATGAATAAACGGTAAATGTTGTAAAGATATTAAATAATTTGTTTCTTTCATACTTATTTCCAAACCAAAATTAACTTGCTTTCCAGAACAGCAGTATTAAAAAAGACTTCGACAACTTAAGCCCGTTTTCCACTTCACCATTTCGCTCGCTGCCCTGCGCTCGACTACGTTAAAACAACATTTCCAGTTTACCTTTTATACAATAGTACTCTGATTTTCCATTTAACATACAAGCTTCTAGTCCTGGGCTAGGGTACATTTTGATTTACGTCGGACAAAGCTACAGTTCGGTCGGATACCAATACACTTGGGTCGGACAAACAATAAACCTCAGTTTCACTTTGGTCGGACAGAATCTCCGGTGGTTTCCTCTCTACGTCGGACAGTTTCACGAATGGGTCGGACAATGTCCGTGACCGACCGATGTTTTAAGGCCTGACCCTTTTGCGAGTTACAGGAACAATCGAAATTGCGCAACCGTTATTGAATTTTTTTTAACAAGGATCCTGTTAAAAATGTCCATGTAATGATTATATGCAAGAAAACATGGTATTTTAGGGAATCAAAGCATGTAAAATATAAAATATTATAAGTTGTATTTTCCGATATGACATGTAATACCTATAGAAGAACAAAAAAATAAATTAAAAAGTTAGTGTCACGGACCTTCTTAAAAAGATACCAGAGTTAAACATACAACATGATGTGGTTTAGTGTTGTACAGGAGCCCTATAGGCAGAGTTCTGTCATTTTTGAAGGTATTTTTCCTGAAGCACACATAAGTGAGCATATGCGGGCATCGATTTTATTCCTAATTTTTTTGGGAATAGAGTTCCAAAGGTGTGCTCCGTCATACATAAAACTTTTTTTCATATTGTTGATACGTGGTTTTGGTAAACTAAAACCACTTGCAATGCCCCGAAGTTTGTAGTTTATTTTCTCATTTTTGTATGAAAAAAGATTAGCGAGTGATTTGGGACCCATATTATTTAGTATTTATACATAATTTTTGTTCTAACTTTCTTCCTTTCTTTTTCGAGTGGTTTCCAACCCAATGCATGTAAAGCAGTAGAATGAATCCGAATGGAAACCAGTAGCACTCGGATTTTTTGAATGTAAAAAATCCACCATGACGATCTTAATTTCCATTCTTTACTATTTATATTACATGTGCTTAAATTACAGACTTCAATGTATATTTTTAATCTAATTTAGCTTTGCTGTCCTAAATGTTCTGGGAGAATAGGATCGTTTAACTGGGCAGGTACGGTATTAAACGTTTCAAAATTTTAATTTAAATTTACATACCATCTCTGTGCCTCCATATCGAGAACAAGACTCTTTACTACATTCCTGAGGAATTACTGTCCTAAACCAAATCATAGATATCTTATATACACTAGATAGCGCATCTCTTTTAGTAAAATTGAAGCCAAGTATATTCCAGCGGTTACCCCCATTTGAATAGATGGCGGCCATGTTGGAGTTTTCCACTCGCTAATAAACGCTTAAAAAACAACAATGACTTTCATCATTTGAATAGTTTGAAAATGTATTTGGAATAGGTTTAACTTAATGTTTAAGTTCCCTGTTTAAGAAATAGAAAACATATACGAGTCTTCTCATTTCATGTCGCAATCACGGCTTCAATTTTTGAATTGCAGAATAATTAGATGCACTATCTAGTGTATATAAGATATCCATGAACCAGATCTTCTGAAGAATTCATTTTGAAAGTCCGCAGAAGGATTTAGTATTTTACACTTGACCCTTGAAGAGGTCTGAGTCAAAGTACTCTATTCCTGAGGAATTTCAGCGCAAACGTCAGCAGGCTCAGCTTACCAGTACCCCCAGAGAATTTTAGGTTCCTTCATACGGGGAGGGAGATATTGAATGGAATTTGAGCCCTATGTCGTTGGTTTAGGAGAACAGTGTTCTTGTGGACGTTGGGTCACACCAGCATTTCAACTTCACAAAAGCAGGATTGATGAAAGTTAAGAGGCGAGAGATGCGAGTTGAATCGAGCTTAAATGCACGCATATACAGTAGTCTATGGTACGACGTAGCAAAACAGTCGCAACAGAACCAAGTGGTCTTGAAGAAAATTTTATTAAAGAATAAGCTGGGAATATGGAATTGATTAGAACTTGGCTCATCACCCATCACCCATCGTCCTTAGTCTTCAGGGGAACATATACATTAATAAGTAAAGGAAGAAGTTATTTCGCTGGCCTCGGAGTGACAAATCGTAACAAAGCAACGGTCTTATTAACACTAACCGTATTTCAAACAGCAACTCTGATCTAACCCTAACCCTGATCGTACCTAACCCTACTCCAAGTGTGTTTCTGAACCAATCGTGAAGAAAAACGTTTTGACGAAATGTCATTCTGAGGTCAGCGAAATAACTTTTTCCTGATATAAGAATGCACGATTTATAATTTAATCAATGAATATGTTTAAAATAAATTGAATTTCAGACATCTTCAAAATTCTGCATTTTATCCTTTTTTGTTCCGTTTCCGTGTTTTATCCCTACGCAACTGCAAATGCTCCAATCTGCCGAACTTGGCAGCCTAGTTAGGGACTACTCATTATTTATTGTACAGGGGGAGACTGAGGAGAAACTCTACAGTTATAATATTTTTTCGTTGCCCCCCTCTTAATACAAGAAAAATTTTCAACCCCCC